TTTTTTAAGTATTAAAATAAATTGTTATTTTACAGGCAAGCCTGCACGGACTACCTATGTGTTCATTTGGTTTCGAGTCTCTTCCCCATCAAACTGCCTCTGTCAATATTCAGAACTTTTTTTTTTTTCCCCCAAGTGATCTCAGTATTTCCTCAGTGCTTACTTCTACCGGCCTCGGAAGCTCTGGAGCTTTACCCAGACGTTTTCCCTCTCCTTTTTTTTCTACTCCCCCACCCCCCATTTTTTTTTTTTAATTTTTTTTTAAATTTTTTTTGTAAAGGCTCACAAAAATAAACAGATCCATAGGGTGTCAAATCATTTTGCTGCTGGTGTGGAAAAAAAAAAAAATCGTCTTGGGTAACTGAATCTTAGGTATTAGCTGATAAGATGGGGTGTCAGAGGTGTTATGACACAAATCAGATGAATAATGGGCGAACTGTTACCGCTTACACAGCCCGGAGGTGCAGCGGGCAGAGCGGCCTTCACACCCACTTCCCTTCACTTGTCGGGAATTGGGGTGTTTTTCAATCGCATCTTCACCCTTCTTGGGGGCGGCCTTAGATTCCCGGCAGCTGTCTTAGATCAGAGATGTTTATTCCACAGCGAAACCGCTTTGGATCGAGACGGGGGAGAGGGCGCAGAGCGGGGGCATCCTCTGAGCCTTTGAAGCGCCTCTGGTCGTTCTCTCTCGTCTGCTAGGCAAAGCCCAAGCCCTCCACTCTCGTCACAAGGCAGAGCCCCGAGATAAGAGAAGCGTCTTGCACATGAGCACGGTGACACGTCCGAAATAACAGCGGACCTCTTCTCGCGTTTCCGAAGCTCGGGTGCCCGACCCTGCTATCCGCCCCATCCAAAGCTGTTTCTTTCCCCCTTCCCGTCTCCGCTTTAAGAAGATATTTCTTTATTTGGTCAAGGAATCCTATCAGCGACAGGAGAAAAGTTGTGGTTCTAATTCTCTAAACGTAAGGAGGGGAGAGGGAAAAGAAACTTCTCTCCCCGCTTTTTATTTTATCATTATTACTGGTATTATTTTAATTGGGCACCGACTCGACATCGTAGCTAATTTAGATGCGCTTGTAAGACGGGTTGCAGAGTCCATCTTCGGCATAGGAAGGCCCTTGCGAAGTGCAGGGTGCCGAGATGGCACATGAAGTTCTGGAGGCTGTGGGAACCCGAGTCGGAAGCCAGCCCGCTTTTGCTTCTCTTCCCACCGCCGTCCGCTTTCCAATCTGCGTAAAGGCTTTTGGTTTTGTCTTAAAAGTCATCTGAGAACCAACTGTTCGGAATAAACAAGGAGTGTGTGAAGGGGGGATCACCCAAAACCTGTAGGAAGCCGGGAATCGGCCCTCTGCGCTTCTACAACGAATAGCAGCCACCGTGAGTCGAGCGCGTTGATGTGCGCGGCGCTCACCGGGGGAATCCTGAGCAGAAAACCATTCGAGCCTTGCCGAACCGGGTCGGGCCGCGTTCTCTCGTGTATCGGAGGGAGGGTGGGGGAGCGTGCAATTCACAATGTATTCGATCCCCGAAGGGTTTGCGCAAAGCACAGCGGGAGCGGTCGCCTCTCCCCCGCGCCAGCGGGTGCCTGCGGGGCTCCCCTTGGATAAAGGCACTCGCGCCCGCCAGCTCTCCGGGCGGACTCCTCCTGCCGCCGGCGAACGGCGCTGCCGGCTCGGATGCGCGACGCTGAGCGCCTGTCCGAGGAAGGGTGCGCAGCTCCGGGCATTGCCACGGCACTGACTGCCAGCCTAAGGGAGAGGCAGCTCACCCCAACCCCCGCCGTTCGCCTTTCTTCTAAAGGGAGATTCAGAGAGAAAGTCCCCGCTGAGCCCCCCCTTCCCCCCCTCCCCCTGCAATCTCCTCGCGTCATTTATGCAGCAAGCAAAGGCAGCGGCACGCACGCGGGGTCCGGCAGCGATATGGGAAAGTGAAGGGCTCTGTCGCTCGGAGTCAGTATTTTAAGGATCGTGACTACGAGGCGGCCCTCCGAGTCGGATCCGAAGGGAGGGAGGAGGGAACGCAGGGAGGGTCACTTCGCTGAGGCTTTCCCACGGTCACACCATCATCTCTTTAACACCAGGATAACGAAACACCCGTGGAGAGGTAAGAAACCGCGGCAGCCCTGGGAACCATTATAACCGCGGGGTCGTGAGGTGGATAAGCCACTCCTCCCAGCTGGGCATGAGAAGCATTTCATTTGTATAGCTGAAGCCTGCTGATGCGCTTGCCAAGAATTTCCCTGGACATGTATTTTTATGTGCAATAAAGAAAAAAAAAAAAAAAAAAAAAAAAAAAAAAAAAAAAAAAAAAAAAAAGATAAAAAAAATTAAAAAAGAAAAAAAGAAAACAGCACACCAGAATTGTCATAATCAGAAATACAGATGTATTAAAACTGTATAAGCATACCAAGCACAGGATGCACACACAGCCTCTTAATATCATTTATACTAAATGTAGATGTGTGTCCATTTCCTCTTCCCAGAAGGCCACTTTCTACTGCTGCAAACAAAGGCTATCACTCTGGTCACATTCTCAGTTGCACTGGTGAATAGCTTGCCTATTTTTTCCAGTGTTTTGTGTTTTGCTAGGCAATATCAGTGCGGTGATTCATGACAGCCAGAAGAGATAACTCCTACTAACCCCAGAATAAATGAAGAGAAATATATGGAGATGTGCCTTTAGAATCAGGATCACGAATAATTTAAATGTTTAATTATCTCCCCTTTTCTTTTCTCTTTGCATGTATTTTAATTTGACAATTATGCAGTGAATAAAATTTACTTAGGATTCTGTCTGCCAACTGAGAGTTGATTCTGTTTCCACAGTTGCTTTGAATTTTGCATTTTCATCCTAAAAGTATCACTGAATGGGAGTTTGCAAGAGTGAAAACCAGGCATGCTGCAAGATTTACAAGGGAAACCCCATTTTCTGCCTTCTTTTTTTTAACCATTACCAGTTACAGGAGAAAATGTAAAGATGTCTTGGCACATCTCTCT